TAACTTCAACTCTGCACCTCCAGGGAGCACAGGCCAAAAAAGATGTGAGACCAGCCAAAAAAGGGGTGTTTTTGGCTCGAGAGAGCACTTTGCACCTATTCAGAAGGAGTGTTTGGAAGGTTTTGCACAAATGTAGGCAAGCAAATCACTCAGGCTGTGGGCAGGCAAAGTATTTGTAGGATTCTTTTTGCCACTTATTTTCAGATCATGGTCCTCTCACTGGGAATAATCACTAACCCCCTGTGGGTGTCTACAGAGACTCGAACAAAAACACTGGGCAACATGAAAATAGCTGTTTCAGGGGTCAAAATAGCTCTTGTTGTTCAGGTTTAAAAAAAAATAATCCTCTAGCAAAGACATTTTTTTTCAAAAGAAAAACCTAGCACTTTTCTGGGAAAAGAAATACTTAATTTTGGCAAGTTTCACTCCAAATCTCTGCATGTCCCTGTTTAGTCGATGTACTCTTGGAGAACACGTTTTCTATGGTATTATTGGTGTGATATAAACTTGTGTTATCTTAAATTCTAAATACCCCACTGAAATAAACAGGAAGTGATAAACACATACTTCATTAATCTGATTTTTTTCAGAACTGAATTTCTTCCCCACCTAACCATCTAAATAGGGATGGTTATAAGCCACCCACAATGCAGACTTCCTCAGTCTGAGTAAAAACAGGTTCATGTGTCCATAAACTTCTAGTTTATACTTTTCTCCATTCGATTAAAAATTATACTTCTCAGACAATAGAGGGTTGGGTTTTTTTTCTTTCATCTTTGTATCTCTACTTCAGATGTTTCCTGTCTTTTTCCTTACACAATCCATGTATCTGCTACACGACAGCACTGCCAAAATGAAACTCTAGGATCACAGAAACCATTTTTTGGTTTAAACAATCTAACCAAAAGAATTGTGATTTCCAGTTGCTGGAGGAGATGATTTATGGTCATCAGAAATTAAGAACCACTACAAAAAGTTCATTGCCAAACTGATTCAAAACTTCTTGAAGTCTGTGGGAGCTCTCCTATTGATTTAGGTGGGCTTTGGAGCAGATCATACACTTAAAAATAGGACTACTCTGTATTACACATGGAACAATGAACAAAACATATCTAAATAGATATAAAATCTGAGGGTGATTTATTTTTTTTAGACAAACCCCTAGTTTTGCCCTTTAATGCACTATCCTCTTGATCACAACAGGTATATAAAGCTACTTGGGAGAAAAAGAGTCAGTAAGATCAAATCTCAAAATAAAGCAATGCATGTGGCATGAGGCAGACTTCAAAAGTTTAGTGCTGTCAAGAGCTTCTATATGGAAATATCATGGTCCATCCCAGAGGAGTGACTGCCCAACATAACCATCTTCCCTTTCCTTTTTCAACTTTGATTCTATCTGTAAAAGCTCAGTGATGCTCAATGCTGATCCATCTTTTAAGAATACAGAATGACACCCACTTCCTTTTGTGCAAGAATGACAAAAAACTTCCTCTAGTTCAGCAGTATCTTTGCCTCCAGTTTCTGTTAGGAAAGGGAGTTGGTGTTATCACAGTGAAAGAAGGTAGCTCAGCTGGCTTAGACACAATCAGCTAATGATAATCAACTGCCAAAGCTGAGCAAATCTTATAACCCCTGCCTTATTTGTCTGGATTTTGTGATTCATCACAACTCCCTCTGCCACTGCAGTAAGAAGCCCACATTCATGTACTGCTCAATGCAGATGGACAACTTCACAGTCAGTATTTTAAAGGCTTTATCATACATTACTTTGTTAGAAGACAAGTCTCCATCCACCTCACAGAGTTCCACTGCTGTTTAATGTGCACAACGTCTGTCTTTAGAACATTATAAATGAAATACCTCACTTAATTATCCAAACAATATTCCAGCTCCCATTCTTTCAACATCACTCTGAGCAATTAGCATTGTCATACTAAGAATCTGGGGACTGCAGATAAAATCTTCCCTCATTCCTAACTAATTTTAGTCAGGCCTGGGCATGGAAAGAATGGAATAATTTAGTG